ATCCGGGTTCCACCCTCGTGATAGAATCACCTCCCAAAGGCCCCACCCCCTAGTGTCACGTTACCTTGGGCGCTGGAACTTAACACAAGAATTTTGGAAGAGACTAACATTCAGTCTATAGCATTCAGGACTCAGGATTGCTTTAAATGCATCTGTGCAGTTGCTTAGTGGTTGTTTAAAAAAGGTGTGTACATCAGAGTCAAAGAATCATAATCGTATGCCTTTAAGATGGAAAATTTTAAGATGCCAAACTAACGCAAGCAAATTATACCTTGGGATAGCCCAGTCAAGGAAGGCTCCTGATAAATATAAAGTGAGGTAGACGGAATTTATTATAATGAAAGAATACAGGTCACATTTTCATACATAACGTACATGTTTATATACTGTGCTAGTGAAGTATTCTTTTTATGAGTGATGACAACTACAGCCAGACAAACTGCAGGCCGTTAAATAAATCAGTTCACAAAGATTTTAAGTGCTTTATTAGTTTATATGACGCTGTTATATAGTACATTTGAGCAACTCTGCTGATATTTATATATTTTTCATGTACTTTCCAAATTCCATTATTTCTTCTTTGACTCATGTTATATAGAATCTGATTCAGATTTCCAAATAAGTGAGATTTTTTAATTATTAGTTTCTAGTGTGATTGTATTATGATCAGAGGAAGTGACACCACTTTTTTGAAATGTGTTCAAACTTCCTTTTCAGTCTAGTCTTTGGTCAGTTTTTGTAAATGGTCCATTTATAAAACAATTTTGATGGTAGATTTGTCTTTTCTGCTAGTAATCCTTTTAATTTTTACTCAATAAAATGAGACTGACCACTTTTATACAAGGTTAGAATTTTCCTATCTTCTAGGAATTTTCTCCCTTTTTTCCATTATGTAGTGGCCCTTTGTATCGTAGACATGTTAAAAGAAGCTCAAGTTTTGCAAAGCCCGGCTTTGGTGCTCTATTTATTCTTCGAGTTCCAGCTCTGTTTTTGTTTTCTGTCTTTCTATAATCAATTCTAAATTGCTGACTCAATGATACAACTAAAGAAAATGTTTTGGTATTTTAACCACTATGTTTCTTTCTTTTTAGCAGAAGCTTTGGTCAGGTTACTCATTCTAACATACTGCTGACTATGGAAGTCTGTTACCTTCATTTTTAATTTAATTATAATCAGGATCATTCATGAATTTTTGTATATGTTTATAAGTTTAGATTTTGAAAAATAAATTAAGCCAGAGCCAGATGGAATGAACTTTTAAATAAGTGCAAAATTTTACTTCAGCTGCTAACATGGTTCTTGCTTGATACTGATGTTTCCTTCACCAATACCATGAAAGATTTAAAAGTGGGGAGCCATTTGAAAATTATTAAAATGAGGGACATTGTTTTTCTTTTAAGTAATCACTTATATGCTTAAAGCATCCATCCTTTAGGCAGTACTTTTCATTAATTAACTTCTTTGCATTCTCAGAATCATTACAGATATAGTTAACATGTAAGATTAAATTCATAAACATGAAAATAATTATGCTTATGTGGTGATGAAGATTTATGAAAGCAATTAAACAAAACATTTTTCTTTATGACTCCTCCTAGACTAGATGTGGTCAGCAACTGACTGTTCTTCACAAAGGATGAAAGGATATACGTTAAGCATATTTTAATTCATGGTATATTATCGTTTATGAGCCTCCTGTGGATATATGGTTTGACTCTATGCCAGAACCCTCTAAGAAAGTGACTTCTTTCCATGGGCAAGATTGAAAGTCAGAATGCCTGGGTTTGCTTACTTAACAGTGTGATCTTGAAGAGTTCCTTAATGCTTTGTCTTTCAGTTTCTTTACTGGAAAAATAATAGTACCTTAGATAAATCATTTAGAGTAATATCTGGCCCCTAGAATAGCAAGTAATTTAATTAATGCTTGCTGTTGTTTTCTCCCCTGGGAATAATTATTAGGCTGTACATTGATGTAGATTTTGCAAAAAATTCGTCATACACATTTTTAAAAGTTTGAATATTAATAGGTTTTATATATAGCTATATCACATATATAGCATCTGTAAAGCTTACATTTATCTCTTTACTAGAGACCACTAAAAACAACCTTTGGGTAAAGGGGATATCCTCATGGACTCAAGGATCAATGATCTCAATCATCTGGTAAGAATTTTCCTGGACTCACGAATAGAGCAGTGACCTTAGTGTAGGAGTGCTGGTGGTATTTGTGATGTTAGTAGTGGTTGTAGAATTGTAGTAGTGGTACTCACAGCAATGGGGGCTACACTCATCATAGGCAATGGTACCAGGTCCTCTTCTAGGTGTCTTACGTGGGTTAACCGACTTTGTTTTCACAGCAACCAATGAAATGCATACTATTTATTATCTCAATTTTTTTTGAATAAAGAAAGGATGGACCTCCCATTTTACAGATGTAAAAATTAAGATATGGAGGGGTTATACAAAGTAATGAGCAGAACCAGAATTTGAACACGGTATTCCAAAACATGTATGCTTAGACGCAGATGCAATTCTGCCAAGGTGTTTTTGGCTTAGTGCCAAGTGACATTTCATTCAGCATGGGAGTTTGTCCTTTGCTTTAGCTAGGTTTTCTTGGCCAGTATCAAGCAAACCAGTTTAAGCCTATGGAAGCTGTCTGTTTAGAGTCTCCCCTGAATTGTCTTAGAATTCTATTTTATCCCTGGGTTTGGTTCCTTATTGTTATATCCCCATTACCTTGAGGAGTAGACATGAAGAGAAATATGTAGATACTTGGGGCAATGTGATATTACTATACCAGGAACGAAATGCCCCTGCCCGCCTTGCTAATGCCTCCTCACCTGCTGTCTGGCCCTGTCCCCGTGGCCTCTGTGGAGTCCTGGCCCGCCTTACTTTAGTTGCCGACTTCCAGCCAGTCCTGCTGTCTTTTTGTGCCCAAAACAAGCCTTTGAAAAAGAAATATGACAAATATGACAAAAGAAAAAGCCAAACGAACATAATTCAATCAATAACTATATTAATACCAAACTAATGGTGGCTTTTCTGGGCTCTCTAAATAATGCCTTCTTTGTTTTTTAACTTAAAAATCACTGTCCTCCTGTAAGTGGGGTGGGACGAGTTTTATCTAGTGACTTTCCAGTTCTCACTTGACCTGTCATGTGCATATGGATCCAACTGCCGGCCACAGGGGAGAGCGTGGAGCATTCTCCGCCTTCACTTCCTCGGCCCTTAGCCCCCATTGAGCTGCGAACAGTGGCCGAGGACAAAAGCTGTATACACTGTACAAACAGAGCTCCAAAGCGGCAGTACACTGAGTCATTCTTCGCTCTGTGTGAGAACTGAGGGGGACTCTATTCACGTCCTTTGTGCTGGTGTCTGTCAACAGCGCTGTTTGAGGCAAGGCCTATTGTGCCGGCCAGTGTTTCTTATTGACCTAAGTCTGTGCCTGCTATGTTCCCAGGGTCGAAGTTGCGAGTGAGAGAATGTTTGAAAAGGGGTAATCATAGGCTAAATGCATTTTGCTGCATTGTCATCTGACCTATTAAATCTATCTGTGGTCTGCCTTCATGCAAACAGGTGATCATATAGTCACAGCTGCAGCTGTTGACACCTGGTTACCGCCCCCATAGGAAAAAATAGGTGTGTTTTGTCCTGTGTCTAGGTTCTTATATGCTGGACGTTAATGATTTTTAACTGAAAGTGGATAATGGGTTAGGAATACTAAAAGATCAACAAGGTGGATACTCTGAGCCAGCCTCTGCCGCAGCTGTTTGCATGTGTTTTCCTTTGATATCACGGTGCTTTCCCATGACTCCAGATTGAGTAATCTTGGTCCAGTTTTAGTTTTTAAGGAGTGCGAGGTCAAGATAATTTTTATGTTTCCGTCCTCTACGATCCCGTCATCACACTAAGTCACTTAGAAAGGGCAGCCTCTCCTGACTTCGTTTTGCTTGCCTGCCTTCTGATTTTACCCACGGGTCTCACCGACCGCTCCCCCAGAGGACGGTGGTGTTTGTAAGAGGTCCATGTACCCCAGGCAGGACAGGTACATTGGGGTGAATTGAAGCTTATGGCTATTAATTATGTTAGTAAAGCCTATTCTTTGTAGTTTCTTCCAGTATTCTAAACAGCAAAAATTATGAATAAATCAGTCCTGGAGAAGAGCTACTTTTCTGTTAGTAGAAGTAAAAAATGCGTAGAAATGTTTTCCCGTCAAACATGAAAATCCATTTACCACTAGAGTACTCTATACATATATTTTCATTCACCTCCACAATTCGTGATTTAACAATATTCATTAAAAGCCTAGTAGGTGATAGACTGTGCTAGGGATTGGGGTACAATTTAAAAGTAAAAATCTGTTGTATTAGTTTTTCTGATTCACACTGTCACTAGTAGCCTACGACGTGTATCAGGAGTGGAACTGATGCAGGAGACAGAGAAAAACAGTTTGAAGACCTTGTAACTTCAAGGTTTTCCTAAGGTTTTGGCCCTTTCTGTCTCCTACCTGTTTTGATTCAGCGTCTCTCTGAGTGGATAGTTACCAGTCCCATTGGGACCTCGATGAGAGAGCACTCAGGATGCCTAAGAGCCTGGATTCTGCAGCCTTTTGAGCCAGGTCCTGTGAGCCCGGCTCAGTTCGTGCCTTCCTGGTGTGGGCAGCTCAGAGTGTGCTGGCTTCGTTGCACTGGGCTCTTCGAGCTCGTGGTGGTTTTGCAAAGGGGAGCAATTCATCACCTCCTGCATCCTACATGCTGGAGATACAAAGATGAAGAGCATTAAACTCTTACCCTCAGCGAACTCAGATTAAATGCCTTGCTTTTTACCATCCTCAGCACAAGCACAATTTTGAAAAAATGGCATAGTGAGTGAATTTAATAGAATAAATAATACAGTAAAATATCAAAAACTGAATGTGTTCTGCCTTTGAAAATGTGGGCCAATAACGAAGAAATATTCTTTCCACTTTAAAAATAATATTTCTTGTTTATGTTCCTTAGTAAAGTTGGCGTCTTCTACATGGAACACTGTGTGGAATTAAAATATTTACTAAAATGCCTACCGGTAAGTCACTATCTTAACCCTTAGAAATGAAAACTATTTTCAGATTCTTATAATGAAATCTTTTTTTTTTTTTTTTTTACAAATAATGCTTTTTTTCATGTTGCTGTTTCATATACGGAATTATTTTGACAGATACTAAGTGTAACCACTTCAAAAGGGTTTTCATATTTGTAAGAAATAACAAACCATATGCCATCTTGCAGAAGCCTTGATTTGGAAAGAACATGGCTCTTGGCCAGCAATTAATTAGCCGCTCTTTTGTTTTGGCCATATTGTGGTGCTGTATAGGTGTGACATTTTCTGTCCTCACCAGATAGAAATATTCCCGTGTGTCTACTATATTATTAGGGAAAGCTCAATTTTGGTGTTATTTTTCTACCAAGTAATAGGAATTCTAAGTGCAAGTAATCAAAGTGCAAGAAGAATGGGGAAAAACTATTGGGATAAAATGGGAATGTGAATTTGGCACTGGATAGCTGAAAAGTGACTCCTGTCACTTTGGTCCATTTAAAATTGCCTCATTGTTAAGAGAAAGATGGAAGCTGAACATCTGTAGCAGATGTCTGTCGCTAGAGAACATCGAATGAGAAGAGATTACTTAATTACGTGTTGGGTATAGTGGGACACCCTCTTGTCAGAAGGACAGAATAATTAGCCTGACTAATCGATTTCCTGTGTTTCTCTTGAATCCAATTGAGATATTCTTAAATTATGTTGAAATACAGATCTTCTCTGATACCAGATTGTGTGGGCTCAGTTAGGTTACTCGGTGTTTCTCTCATCATGTAAGTGCACTTGCTTCTCATCAGAGCAGAATTAACTTTGTATGCAGGATATAGTAGTTAAACAGAGTTATGGGCCTCGGGTCTAAAGATTGCAATCAGGGAAGGCTGTCCTCAACAGAGAGCTTCCTTTCACCCGTTTTGACCATTGTCACTGCTTCCCCTCATTCATCCTCGTTGCTGTTGGTCTTAGCAAGAGACCCAGAGACACTATTGCTTTGCTTACAAATAAGGTTTTCTGTTTGATCTTTTCATTTTGTAAGAGATAAAGCACCTAAATCTTAAAAGGGTGCTTTCTTTTTTAATGAACAGCCATGGCTCTGGGAATTTCAAAAGCTCTATACTGTTTTGTTCATTCAGTAAAAGGATTCACAGCAGACATTGTGGTCTGAATACTTGGGTTTTTTCTTAACGGAAAATTATTTCCCTAAGATTTAAACATGATTAAAACGTAGAATTCTTCTGCACTCTGCTGCAAACCCTAACAAATAAAACCAAACCGCACGTGTATATTTTGGAGTCGTTTCCTGAACCCTAGCCTTAGCTGTTGAGTCTCTCCTCCTTCACAGTGAGTTCTGGTGGCAAGTGCTGGGCTGTGGACACCTGCACGCACCCGCCCACGCTCGCCCTGCTGTGTGTTGGTACAGTCCGGTGCTTATCTTTATCCTTGGGGAAGTGAAAGCATATCAAAGTGCTTTGCAAATAATTGTAGGTGGGTGCAGTGCAGAGAGGGTTAACCATCCGGCATTTTCAGTGGCTTAATTAGGCTCTGGCAGAGAGCCAGGATGAGGAGAAAATGGGACAACCGCAGAAACCAGTGGGTTTCAGCATCTTGGCAAGATCGAGAGCATTCAGCAGCAGTCTGTGCTTGTGCCTACCTGTTGTGGGAAAAGTGAGAGGCGGTTCAGACGAGGGACAGAGCGGCCGGGCATTTTCCCATCCAGCTTTCCTATTGTCTTTGTCTCTTTAAAAGGGAGGCAGGAGTGCCTGTTATTAAGCACGACCTCTGCGTCATTCACCGCGCAGGGAAGAGCCCTGTGGACCGCACCGGCCGAGCTGCGTCCCCGTGAGGCAGGATGTGGTCGGGCTGGAGGTTTGGGAGTGACCCACCGGAGGTTTGGCAGGCTCGGCAGCTTCAGTCCGTGTTGAGCTCAGTGGTTTTTCGAGACAGGAAAGGACTCTGGTTGTTGTTGTTATTGATAAAATTAATACTGATCATAAGATTATGAGCCTTGGAAATAAAACGTTATTATAAATGTGTTATTTTTAAAAACTCTATACTAGTTTTGTGAAGTGTACAAATCTAAAAGATGAAGGACTGTGATTCATTATTTTCTACTTGTCTTACATTAGCTGAGATAAATTGATTTGCTGTTTGGACAGTTCATAACTCGAGTTTTTAGGACTAAAGCTTCTATAGTAATTTTCTCTTATACCAAAAGCCCATATTGAAATGTGCTTGAATTTCTCTCTGCTCAAAATTATTTTTGGGTAAAATGATTTCAGATGGGGAAACTATTTTGCATTAGAAATCTTCTGTCCCCTTTATTTAGAGTTAGACTATTTAATCTTTCAGGATGAGATCCAACTTTAGAAAACTATGTACAAAAAATATATATAACTTAAAATCTTATAGTTCTTAGAAAAAACTTTGAGTCTTTTTATTGAGTATAGCCAATTTTCCTATAACTCTTAAAAAAGTAGAATATCCTGAGATAACAATTCTATTTTTTTTCATGTTTTATAGCTTTTGTATAACAAAGATCTCCAGCCCTTAGCCTGTGACCTGTTTTTTGAAGCATTGCTTAATGTAGTACTATTTCACTACCATAAGAAAATTAGCACTATTTTGGAGCTGTTTTCCTGCTATAATTAAAGTCAGATTAACAATAGAATGTCGGTAGTCCAGTCAGCTTTGCTGCAGTTGAAATAACACACTCCTGTACATTCTAATGCTTTATAAGCTCACATGTGACAACAGGACAGAATTTCATTTTAAAATCTGTTTTGTAGCTCCCGTTGTTAAAATGTGTACTGCTGTTATCTACACCACACATTTATTTCGGTATTTATTCATTCATAGACAGTCTTGTAGTATTTCCTTAACTCATATAGTCTCCAAAACTAGATCGTAACCCCACGTCTATGCTGAAGGCAGTGCTGGTACAGAGACCCCCAGTGAACCCTCATTAACTTCAGTTCTGTAATTTGCTTGACTCCACTGAGCTGAGCAAACCAAAGTAGTTTTGGTATGCTTGGGGGTTCAATTTGAAACATTTCTTAGAAGATCTGATAAAAACTCACCCTGATTCTTTATACTGGAATCCGGTGTCTGTGGTGTTGTGCACGTGTCCCATTTGTCAGTGTCTCGGCTGTGTGGACAGCATGGAGTAACGGGCAGCTGTCAGCCTCTCCATCAGTTGGTGTTGATCCCTGCCCATCCGCGAAGACTCCGACCTTCCTTTTTGCATTCAAGAAAAACTCGACAAAATCAGTTACTGACTCTCTCTTAGTAAATGTCTTTAAAAAATTATGTACCAAGTAAAACTAACTAAAATAAAAATTATTTTTAAAATAGTCCTCGAGTTCCTCTGAATCTCATCCTTTTCTCCTTCACTCAGGGAGCTCTTTTTATGTTATGCTGCCTGCAGGAGATTTTCAGAAGTAATGAGGACACGTTTCTCTTCTAGTTCTTACTTTTGAAAACACTATAAAAGATAAGAAGTCGTAATCTAACGTGGATGAACCCTGAAAACATTATGCTAAATGAAAGAAGCCAGTCACAAAAGACCATATATTGTATGATTTTATTTCCAGGAAATGTCCAGAATAGGCAACTCCATAGCTACGGAAATAGACTTGTCATTGCCAGGGGCCATGACGGGAGGCACGAGGAGAGACTGTAATGGGGAGAGGGTTTCTCTCTGGGGCGAAGAAAATGTTCCAGAATTAGATTGTGGTGATAGCCGGACAGCTCTGTGAATATACTGGGAATCACTGAATTACATACTTTGAAGGGGTAAATTGTGTGATAGTGAATTAGATCTCAATAAGTCTGTTTTAAAAAGCTGTAGTAATGGCAAAGACTGTAGATTTTTAAACAATGATTAATATTCTATGCTTGCAGTTAACCGCTTCCAGAGTACCCGCTTTAGAGTAATATGTTATGTCTGAACTAAACCGTAAGCCCAGCTTGACTTTAACAGCTTGTAATGATCCCCACGGTATAGCAGTGTTGATCTCTACGGTCCTGAACGTTGACTGTTTGAAAGACTCTGGCTTCCTGGGCCTCATTATCAGCAGAGTTAAAATGCATTTACTCAGCAAGTGTTTGTTGATTTTCTAGCGTATACCAGGTACTGTCCCAGATGTTAAAGAAACAGAGATGACCAGAAGTGTAGCTCCTGTCCGCCAAGTCTCATCATTAGTACAGTGGACGGACAAAAGCAAAAGCACACCCCGAAAATGCGGCAGTGTCGTACTTGATGTCATAAAGATGTGGCTATTCTTTTACAGCCTACCAGGATTTGGGGGATGGGGAAAGAAAGTACTGTGCCCTGCCTCAAGATCTTTCTTTGAGTTTCTTCAAGGACAGGACTTTGGTCTAAGTTGGAGGAAAAAGAGAATGTGCCAGGGCGACAAACGCCTTCTAGGCAGAGAGGTGAATAGCTTATGCCTGGGCACAGGGGTCAGGGGAGAACAAACAAGACAAGCCCAGACCATTCCGGAACTGCAGGTGGCCTGGGTCGCATCTGAGCTCAGGTTCACACGGCAGCTCCAGCAAAAGGAGAGCTGTGCCGGGAGGGCCCCTGCACGCCCGTTTCCAGGCTTTGGAGGCTCTGACGAGTCCTGTAAAGAGCAACTCTGAGAACTGTTCATTTATTATTTTTAATCTAGTTAATTTATAATCACCCACTATGAGTGCAGAAAGGAATTAGGAAGTATTCAGTCCAGGCTTTCACGTTTCAGATGAGCAAACTAAGGTCCAGAGAACTCTGTCCACAGTCAGATAGTGTGAGGCACACCCAGGACAGAAGCCTAGAACTCTTGAGTCCCATACCACCAGCTTTGGTCCTGTATTGCTTGCCTTTGGGAAATCAGAGGCTGAAAGGTTTAGTAGCACTTGTAAATATTAGCTATTTTTAATTTTCAGAGACATTTCTAATACTGTCCAGTGATAACTAAGTACTAAAAAATTAGCCTCCTTACCTGTGGAATGTCGACTTTACACATAGGACAAATGTTTCCACTGAAGCC